CTTCTCCTCCTCTCCCTCCTCCTTCTCCCTCCTCCCCCCCCCCCTCCTCCTCCTCCTCCTCCTCCTCCTCTCCTCCATCTCCTCCTCCTCCTCCTCCTCCTCCTCCTCCTCCTCCTGCTCTCCTCCTTCTTCTCCTAAATCCTCCTCTCGCCGAGTTCTCCGAGGATCGATCCCCCAGACGGTTTTGGATGGATCAAAATCCCCGCCTCGCCTCGCAGACGACGGCGGTGATGGGGACTGCGACGGTGGTAGTGGTGATGGCGGTGATTGATGATGAGGGTGATGATGCTTACTCTGGGTTTCTTAAAAAGCTTTGGGGGGTACCCCCCCGACGGGGGTCAACCTCGCCTCGTCGTCGGGGGTCGGATCGTCTTCGGCGCGCGGTGGCTGCCCGCGACGGGGGTCGATGTGGGGCTGTCGGCGGAGATGGCACCCCGCAACGCTTATTACATTGAGAATTTCGGAGTATGCTGATACTTGATACTGATACTGATGCCGATGCACATGCACATGCTGACGATGATACTGACGATGCTGACGATGCAGGTGCTGGGGGCGAGGGTGATGAACATGACGAGTTGTTGATGCTGATGGTGATAGTATTGATGGCGATGATGAGTGGCGGCTCATCATTAGCAGCATCCCCTCCTCTTCATCACTCCATCCTTCCCTCCCCCTCCTTCCTGTTCGCATCCTCGTCGTTCTCCTCCCCCATCCCCCCTCACCCTTCTTGCCCCCCTCCTCACCCTCGGCTGTAGGAAGCGGCTGCCCGCCCTCAGTCCGAAGCTCGCATCCTCGTCGTTCTTCCCCCCCCCTTCCCTGAGGGATGTGGTATTCCACCCTGGGACGCTGGCGCCAGCGACTGACAGATCCGTCCGGAAAGTAGGTGCACCACGATTGGAATGGGCAAAGCAGTTACACCCGCATGTCGTTCGTGTCTGTGGAGAGGGAGGAGTACAATAATCATCACATGCACAAGGCTTTCTTGCACGCCTGAGCGCAGCTCTCCGTAGCGCCGACGCGCCCTAGGGCGTATGGCGTTGTCTCCTGCCTCTCTTGCCTTCCCTCCTCACCCCTCTTCCTCGCGGCGACTGGGCATCGCTCGGACGTGCGCATCTCCTCTCCTTCCGCGAGGCCCACCGATGAGCATCTTCGGCCACCCTGCGGAACCGTAAGCGCACGTTGTCGAGGCATGCACGGGCCGTCCGAGCGCCGGCGAGGCCACGACGGCAGCCCCGCGGCCCCACGACCCGCGAGAGGCGCGGAAACCCGAGGGGCCCTGCCCCGCCCCCCTTCCCCGCCGCTCCGTCTTCCCGTGTGCGCGCTGCCGGCCTCTCCCCGCGCGCCGCTGGGGTCTCTCGGCGGCTGATGATGCACACCTGGTTCCAGGTCGGTCTCGTCCCTCCTCCCTCCCCCTCCTCCTCCTCCTCCTCCTCCTCATCAGCATCAGCATCAGCATCAGCATCAGCGTCAGCGTCAGCATCAGCATCAGCATCAGCATCAGCATCATCCTCATCATCCTCATCATCCTCATCATCCTCATCATCCTCATCATCATCATCATCATCATCATCATCATCATCATCAGCATCAGCATCATCATCATCATCATCATCATCATCATCATCATCATCATCATCATCATCATCAGTCTCATCATCAGTCTCATCATCATCTTTTTCTTCTTTATCCTTCCAAGATCTCCCCCTCCTGCTCCCCCTCCTGATCCTCGTCTCCCTCCTCGGCCTCCCCCCCTCCCCGTTTCCCCCCTCGCCCTCCCGCAGCCTCGGGTCATGCAGGCTGTGCTGATGCCGGCTCTTGTCGCCCACGCTCGGCCACGCGCAGGGGGGGGATGGGGGGAGGGTGAAGGCTTCTCAGAAGCACCCCTGAAGCCTGCTTCTTAGAAGGGGCGGTCCGCCTCCATGGATGTAGGGCCGACGCCTTCCGAGGCGCAGCCTCCTCCCCCCTCCTAATTACCCCGCCGTGCGCGCCGCCAGCACGCTCGCTTGGCGGAGGTTCCAGGTTGTGCTGCAGTCAAAGCCCATTGTATGGACGCACAGATGTCCTTAGGGTACTCCAGATTTCGTAACAAAGGGAGGGGGTCTCATTTCAGGGGGGGGGTCTTTTCCAAGCTATCTTGGAGGGCCTGGGGGGTCTGGGGACGATGTTTTAGAGGGTTCTCCCACGGGGGAGGTCTGAAATGGCTTGTCTTGGAGGGTCCAGACCCCCTCCCTTGTATTACGAAATCTGGGGTACCCTTGCGTCCTTGCCTCTGTGGCCCATCCTTCGTGGTTCTCACTCTGCCAGCCTTGCAGGGTGTTGGCGGTCCGCCGCTCAAAGAGTGCTAACTTCGGCGCCCAAAGCCCTTACTGCCCGTCCTTACAATAGAATTCGACTGTGATGCCTGCACTTGTGGCCTACGCCTGCTTGGCGTAGGTTCGAGGGTTGTTGTCAGTGCCCCCGGCCCAAGGTGGTGCCCCCAGCTTTTCGCTCCACTTTGGAGCCTCAGGGGCCCTGTGGGCCTCGTGAGGGGTGCTCTGCTTTGGAGGCCGTGGGGGTCTCCTTGGAAGTCCTGGGGGCACCTTGGGCCAGGGGCACTTCTAGCAACACTCGATGGGCGTCTTTCATTGGCGGCGGACCAAACGTTGAT